AGGAGACAGAACGACAGGGAAGCCTAGTGTTAGCCGGACGGACAATTTATATAGCAACATGAGTGCGCCGTTTCCGCCAACGCCACAGAAAGTGCCGGCTGTTAACGTGCCACCCGTTCTAGACATCCAGCCACCCGCGCCACCGCTCATTATGGCGCCAGGTGTAGATGCAGTGTCTCTACAGTCCCGGCTCTTAGACTTTTGGACCGACCAATCGCGCGTATGGTTCGTACGCACAGAAGCTATCCTCGCACCTCAGAGGATGGGTGATGAGGCGAATTTTGACCTGGTCGTGTCCAAGCTAAGTATGGAGGTCATCGTGCAAGTGACGGACATATTACTAAACCCGCCTCCTACCTACAAGTACGACGCACTCAAAGCTCGGCTGCTCCATATCTATGAGGAGTCAATGTCGAGGCAGATCGAGAAGCTTATGAGCGAGCCTTTGAAAGGGGTTTGATAGGGGGTGCTGGGCGAGTAGAAACCATCTCAGCTGCTTCGTCAGATGCGTGAGCTCGCTACTGACAAGGTTCCTGATGAAACCCTTCGCGTGCTGTGGCAGAGTCGTCTTCCGATACAAGTGCGAGCCGTACTCACTGTGTCTGACTCCAAGGACCTGGATAATCTATCAGCAGTTGCAGATAACGTCATGGAGGCTGTGCGGCCTTCCTATGCCGCCACCGCTACTTACACCGTGCCAGCGCCAGCATCCACGGCCGCCTTTGACTTGGCCGTGTTGAGGGCTGAGGTGGCTAAAATAAAGGCTGCCGTGGACCAGATCAATCAGCAGAGGTCGAGGTCTCGTGCCCCTGATCGCAACCGGCGTCGTTCGCAGTCCAGGCACTGTAGCGGTTCCCGCCGGCCCCGGAAAGAGAACTACTTATGCTTCTACCATTACCGGTTCCGAGAAAAGGCCAACAAGTGTACGAAGCCTTGCACATGGAAACCAACACAGCCGGAAAACTGAGCGGTGAGGTACAGTCCGAGGATCTTGAGGTCTGTACCATTTTTCCGTTCAATCGTTTGTGTGTGTCTGACAGTAACACTGGGCTTAGATTTTTAGTTGACACAGGTGCCAATGTGTCTGTTTTACCAGCCGCGAGAAAAGATCGTGCAAATCAGTGTAGTGAATATAAATTATACGCAGCTAACGGCAGTAAAATCGCAACTTACGGTAACAAGACACTAGTGTTAAACTTAAACTTACGTCGACCTTATCGTTGGAAATTCGTTGTAGCAGATGTCAAATTTTTTATTTAATAGAAGTTATCATTTTATACCTGTCGCACCAGGTGATGTGGAGAAAACCGCTATCATAACACCATTCGGAGTTTTCGAGTTTCCTCGAATGACCTTCGGTTTGCGTGGTGCAGCACAAACCTTCCAGCGTTTTATGAACTCCGTTTTATGAACATTTTACAAGGGTTTGATTTTGTCTTTTGTTATTTAAACGATTTACTTATGGCTAGTGACAACGAAGTTGAACACAGGGAACAAGGCAATGGGAGATCCTTGGGAAAACTGGACGGTGCTGACAATAAATTGGGTCAATGGGGTTACGGGATGTGGCAAAATAACTTGGGTTATAAACTAATTCCATGCGGAGGATGATTTGATTGTCACAATAACAACGGAAGCAGCTAAATATCTTAGAGAAAAGTTAGCCAACCGCATAGCCACTGACGCAAAAACAAAAGTGCGCACTATGGCTTCAGTTTTAGTAAATGGTATGAGAAGGCAAAAGAGAAAATGTACTCGACTTTTAGTCGAAGAAGCTCTCATGAACCATTTCAGGGCCATAGTAATGGTAATGCGGGTAAGTGGAGCGGAAAGCATACTGCTTTTTGGTGACATCAATCAACTCCCTTATATCGACAGGGAAAACCTCTTTGCGATGCAATATACTCGCCCAAGCCTCGTGACCACTATCAGCCAAGAACTCCTGTGTACGCACCGGAATCCAATGGATGTGGCATATGCCCTAAGCGAAATCTACAGTGGCATTTATTCATCAAGATCTCAGGTGCACTCACTGAAAAGGAAGAGGTACACGGGAGTCGTCATACCAGGTACCCTGCCCGACACCTTATATCTTGTATTTACGCAAGCAGAAAAGGAGTCCCTTACCAGACATGGATACGGTTCGGGTCTTGGGTCACGAATTTTAACCGTACATGAGGCCCAAGGTCTCACATACGGGAGAGTGGTCATAATGAGGACAACAATTGAGAAGCTCAAAATTTATGACAGCGTCCAACACGCAGTAGTGGCAGTATCCAGGCACACAGAAAGCTGTGTTTATTACACGGACGATTGCGACGATGCAACTGGAAGGCTGGTTGAGAGCGCCATGGCTGCGACAACTAATAGAATCAAAGAATACAATCTGAAAATGGCAATTAGAAACAGAGAAGCAGCTATCGTGGAGGCCCTGTCAACAGATACCACAAACAGTTGAAGATGGAAAAAAATTAAAAAAAATCTGGTAATATAATAAATTAACATAGCATGTAAGGTTATATATCTTAAGTATATAGATTATGTTGATAACTACATAAGGAAAAAAAAGATAAAAAAAAACATTTAAACATAACAAAAAAATGGGTCGACAATAATTATGTTTAAACAAAAAAGGAGAAATAATAATGATGCCACAAAAAAAAACAGGATTTTATATACATTTAAAAAAAATAATAGAAAAAAAACTAACATAGCGTGTAAGTGCATGTCGCATGTAAGCATATCAGTTTGTAGATCTTAAGTATGTAAGAAATTTATCAGGTCTATCCTTCGGTGCTGGCTTATCGTTGAATTTTGGGACACGTTGTATATATATATATATATATACAACGTGTATATATATATATATATATATATATACATATATATATATAATATGTAACGTAATTAACGCACACCCTCAGACACCTCAATTAGTATATTATGTTATAATCATAATACATACACAGAATTTTTAGTTAATAATTTTTATGCACTAAATATTTATCAAATTAGTTATACTAATTCCGGAAGAACGTTCTGGTCACAGTACAAATCCACGAACGCAATGACTTTAACGTGCTTGAAATAAAGTTCATTTTTCTTTATTTTTATTGAATGACAGGATTAGTAATAATACAAATAAAACTGCACTCTTAAAAGTGTTATTGCCTTAAGTTACGGTCCATTTCAGTTTGTTTTGACTGTACAGGTTTAGTGTGACTGTAATTTACGTAGTTTTAATTATTTTTGGGATAAAAAATTACCTATATTAAAAATGATAGAAATCGATTCAGGAAACGATTCTGAAGAGACTACTTTCTCAAAGTGCGTTATTTACGTTACATGTTGTATATATGTGAACTCACTGCTTAGGCTTAAATCTTTAAGTAATGTAAGTAGTGTAAGGAGTACATTTATAACAATATTTTAAAAGTTAATAAAATAAAATAAAGCAAAAAAGGTACGGACTTCGAGTCTGTAGAATAAACTTATTGGAAAAAAACCTAACCTAACCTAACCTAACCCAGTACACATCGGAAAGTGACATATTCAACATCAGCTCCACGGAGAAATTGCTTAAAAATAGCAATTTTTGAGCTACGCGAGTGGAAGTGCTGTGAAAAAGTTTTTGAGTGTGCAGTTCATCAGTGTGATTGGGGAGAACTCTGTACATCGGCTGGTTTTGGAGCAGTAGCCTCTTAACTTTGGGGATAAATAGTGTCGACACCATCAGCAAAATTGCCAAGTAAATTACAGTTTTTGAAAATCGCTATAAAGATCAGTCAAGCTGAAAAAATGAAGAAAATCGGCCCACAAACGAAGAAGTTATTGACTCCTTAAAATTAACAACTTAACATCAAACCACGTGGTTGCAACGTGCTTTCAGACGTTGAGGTTAAAGCGAGTCAGTGAACACGAGGCGTCTGGCGACGGTGCAGACTTCAGTGGTACCTTCGAAGATGGACCGAGGAATCCTCCGAGCATACAATCGCCATCAGGTAAACCCCGAGGGAACTCCTTGACCCCCTTATTCCTGACCATCCGAGCTTGGACTCATTTGAGACAGATTCTCAATACCCCGCCACACATATCAACTACCCCCCCCTATAATAACCCCTACCATTGACCCCCCTTAACACCCTCTTCCACCCTCCCTACCCTCCCAACCCCTTACCCTCTTTTATTTCATACCAGATATACGCTCCTTACGAAACCCCCCCTACCTCCACAACCCCTCCTACTACCCACGCCTACTTATTTATATTATACTATATATAAGCTCCCCGTGAACTTAATCCCCACCTCCCCATGCCCCTCGAGGCTTACCTCTCCCCCGCGAGCCTTAACTGGTTAACCAGAGGAGCTAGACCCCTCGTGTAAGCTCATTTGAATCAGGAAAAAGAGCTCTACCTTCTGGCCCGTACAGAATTATGATTTTCCACCACAGTCCGATACCAACCCGGACAGTAACACCTCAAGCATACTCCAGGACTCATAGCATACTAACCGGAGATCCCACAACGGGCTCTTTCTTCGCGTTCATCGTACTCCTCAATGTAATTCAACCATCGAAAAAGTGAGTTCACAAAAAAAAAAATAATAATCAATATCATTAAATATTAAAAACTATAATAATTGTAAAATATTTTATAAGGCATTACCTATATTTATAGCTACTAAGGAAACTTACAATTAGAGAATCTTTTAAATTTTTGCATATTATAAAATAATGTCAGGAAATAAAGTAGTCTTGTCGGATGTGGAGACTGCTTCTTCAAACAAGTCTTCCCAAAACCTTTTTTGTTGCTCCACCTAGACCTCCATGATCGCTGCGGGAAAAAGTACTTACAAAATCTAGTTTAACAAAAACAACACCTAACGAGAAGTTGCCGCAGCCATCATGTCATTCTGCAACAGGAAAACGTCCAACGGACTCTGTTCCGACAGACGCATCCACAACAGGCAAAAAAGCTTCTTAGCACACTCTGCCAACTAAAATGTCGCAAACTTCTGTTAAAAGCGACAGCTCGATCCGATCCTCCATTTGTGACCCGTTAGATGCGGCTCTCGACAAAGTAGCTAACTGGAAGCAGGAAGAAATTCCTTCACTTCCAGTTTTATCGGACGAAGAACTTTCGATTACATCTGCGCCGGAATCACCACTATCGGAGGCACTGGAAAAAGGAAAACCCAGCCTGCTTTTTAACTCCAACAGGCGACTGGGGGTGGAAATGGATATAGCAACAAAATAAGCGAACGAAATGCTTGTGAGAGGGAAGGAAGCGCTAGAAATGGCAGGGAATATGAAGAGGGAGTGTAAGCTAACAGCTTTAGAGAGTCTGCAGTCCCTCTACGAGATGGTCCTGGAGCTGTCAGATTCCAGATCTAGACATAAGCATAGTCTAGAAAGGGAACGCTCACGCAACGCTCAAGAACTAATGCGAGTGGAGCGCGCCCATAACAAGATCATCACCCAGCTTATGAAGGAAATGTCTTCCGAGCTATATATTCCAAGGACAGATATAAAAAATACCCTCCAGGAATCCAAGACGATACGGGGTTGATTGGACTTTGAAACCCAAGAGTCCTTCCGCAAGACCAGTGACATACTCAGAGCTGTGACGAACTTAGACAAGCGCATAGTTGTGATCCAGTCTAACTTGAGTCAGCAGAAGCAAGAAGGTGCAGAAAACATCTTATCTCACCTAAGAGTGGACCTTACTGGAGTAAAATCTAGTGTGGAAACACTCAAACTTCAATTGGATGAAATGCGCAGAGTCATCGAAAAGTCCGAAAATAACACCAAGGAGGTTCTGGAGACCGGCCAAAACCCTGTTACGCCTGGAGTCACCACCATCCCACCCCTCACAGGAAATAAATAAAAAGTTGGACCTTTTTTTATATACGTATCGAGAAAAAATTAACATCAGGGGAAAAAATTTTCTGAAAAGTTATACAAGGAAACTACTTTAAGGCGTGGAGACGGTAAATTCATTGTAAGATTACCTTTTAAAACAATTGACCCGCAGTGTCAATATGGTCGATCATTTGAGATTGTTGTTAACAAATTACATTCATTAGAGCAAAGATTGTGTAAACGCTCTACACGTTATAATGAGTACATTAATTTATAATGAGTTTTACAGGAATATGCAACGTTGGATCACGTGAAGATAGTTAATGGTGATGATGTTAATAATCATAAAGCCGTGTATCTTCCTCACCACGCGGTTGTGAGGGAAGATAAAGAGACAACGAACGTCAGAGTGGTCTTCAATGCTTCTAGTAAGAGTGTTAATAACGTGTCTCTTAACGATGATTTACTAGTTGGTCCTAAACTCCAACAAGATTTACGTCACTTGTTACTACGATTGCGCAAAGATCCCATTTGTATAGTTGCCGACCTAGTGAAAATATATCGGCAGGTATATGTGCATGAGGATGACACCGACTTTCAGAGGATATTATGGAGAACTAAACCTGAGTTACCAGTTCAGCACTTTGAATTGCTAACATTGACGTTTGGCACGGTCTGTGCGCCTTATCTTGCAGTGAAAATGCTACAATCATTAGCAGAATTGGAAAAGGACAAATATCCATTGGCAGCTCAGATTACACAACGAGATTACTATGTTGTCGATTTAATGACAGGTTGCGAAACTGTGGAAGAAGCGTTACACGTTTACGAACAAATGTGTAAACTGATGGGAGCTGGTGGATTTGGGCTGCAAAAGCGGATTAGCAATAATCAATTGTTTCTAAATCACATTAGGAAAGAGAATTCGAACACCGAAAAGTCCATAGGGATTAAGGATGATAATGTAATGAAGGTTTTGGGCATTTGTTGGAACAGGTGTACAGATAATTTTGAGTATATAGTAAATCTAGCTTAACCTGAAGAATATATAACAAAACGAAAAGTTTTATCGGATGTTGCCAGACTCTATGATCCTATTGGATGGATTGCCCCAATAGTAATTACTGCTAAGGTTTTCATCCAGAAATTATGGAAAGCATGCCTTGAGTGGGATCATAAATTGCCCAAAAATCTTTTATCTAAGTGGTTAACATATAGATACGAGTTAATGAACTTTAAGAATATCACGCTACCGCGGTGGCTTGGTTCAACAAAGGGGTCTAAATTGGAGTCTAAAAAGGGGCCTATGCAACTGCAATTTATCTCAGGATAATGAACGATAATAAAGAAGTAAACGTGAGGCTTACTACTGCCAAGACTAAGGTCGCACCAATAGAAAAGGAGGTGACCATACCCCGCTTGGAATTTTGCAGAGCAACTCTAGATGCAAAATTATTAAACGAGGTTTCGCAAGTAATGGACATACCTAAAGGAGACTTATATGCATGGACTGACTCAACTGTAGTGTTGGCTTGGCTACGCGAACCTGTCAGTCGATGGATGACTTACGTAAGTAATAGGGTGTCCCACATTCTCACAATTATGGATGTTGAACAGTGGGGACTTGTATCCACTAATATTAATCCTGCTGACTGTGCGTCAAGCGGACTAAAACCGACGGAATTAAATAGCCACAAATTGTGGTGGATCGGTCCTGACTGGCTATCACAACAAATTGTTCGTATTGAAAAGCCTGAAGTAATGGATACTCATGAAGAAGAACGAATAAAATCGTTTGTTGTTAAAGAAAAGGGATGCAATGATTTTAAGTGGATGAAATTTTCAAACTTAACCAAATTATTTAAAGTTATTTCGTTATGTCGCAGACTTCTGAAAATAAGTTTGCCGCCAGGTGAGAGGAAAGCCTTTCCAAAATTTGCTACAATTAACGAGATTAATCAAACACTACAATTTTGCATTAAATAAGTTTAAGAATGTGAGTTCGCGGAAGAAATAAATTCTTTGAAATTAAAAGGTTGCGTTGAAAATCGAAGCGTGTTACGCACTTTTTGTCCCTTTTTAGACAAAAATTGGATTTTAAGAGTGGGCGGACGCCTAAGCCAAAGCCAAGCTAATGTAAGCTACGATCTGAAGAATCTGATCATTTTGCCTGCTGAGAATCATCTCAGCCAGTTAATATTTGCTGATTGTTAAAAAAAGGTTTTTTTTTTCGGGTAGGTTTGAAAAAAGTAACAACTAAATTTTGTGCATCTCTGTAATTTTATTTATTTATTTTAGTTATTCAATGTGTACAGTATTTAATATTTGTTAAGTATCAACTAAAATATCATATATGCAATAAATTAAATACCTGCCATAGGCTGCTACCACTTTTCTTACAAACTTCAAGTTGAGTACAATACTTAAAGAACATCTCAGTATGGAAAACATATTTGAAGTTCTTAAAACACAAGTATCACTGGAGAAGACACTTAATCAGAGGTTGGATGAGTTTGAAGCGAGACTAGAGGGGTCATCAAAGGACTTAAGCCTGAAGGACCTAAGTTCTGACTACATCAACTTCAAGAATTTTGTCTATTCAACATTTACATTACTGCGGCAGCAAATTAACCATCTAATTGTTAATGTGAATGCCATTGAAAGTAGACACAGAAAGAAGTTTCTGCTGCTGGGAGGAGTGGTCGAGAATACCAATGAGAATGTCCGCGAATTGGTAGCTTCAGTCATCACGAAGAATCTTGGTATCAAAAATTGTTCTAGTCAGTCGCTGCAGGTATGTCATCGTCTTGGCACAATATCTAATGGCCGCCCTCGTCCGATTCTCATAAAATTTGAAGATGCTCCATTACGTCGGGAGGTATGGGCCAAGAAGGCTTTGCTCAAGGGTAGCCCATATGTGTTGTCAGAATATCTAACACGAATGAGGCAGTCTTTATTCTTAGAGGCCCGCAGGCACTTCGGCATTAGGAATGTGTGGACCTTGGACGGGGTGATCAATGTCAAGCTTCCTACTGGATCCCGTTACAAAGTGTTTACAACAAATGATCTAGAGAAGCTGACAACCAAACACAAAGCTGACGTAGAACAGGCTACCTCGCTTCCAGCCTCAGATGTCATTCCCAAAAAAGAAGGATCTAAATCCAGGTCAACAACTACTTCGAAGCGTGCAATCAGTAAGAAGTTGTGATTTATCGTAATTGTTTCTTAATCTGTACATAATGGCATTGCACTTTACGATCAGCATCATTCTTGCTGTATTTATAACTTTTTCGATTTCATTTTATGATTTTGGTGCTGACAGTAAGCTCTAATTTTACTTTCACCGTATGAAATATTATTGTAGTACATATTTGGTACGAAATACACTAGGTAGGTAAACAATTTATCATAGCAATTTATGTTCACAGACTACTAAGAGGATACTATCTATGTTATAGTCAAACGTCAATATCATACAATTATTTTTATTAAGACATTGGCCTGGATTCTTGGTTTTTAAGCCATGTCTTCATTTCATTTGTATATAATTTTCGTATCTTAACCATTAGATTGTATTCAATGGTAGCGTTTTATTCTCAGTTTAATCTTTTCATAATTATTAATATATTTTAAATTAAATGTACAATATACTTTTGTGTCTTGTATAAATGTAAAATAGTAAACGATCACGGCCTTACTTATAATTGTGTTTATCACTCACTTAAGTTAGTCATTAACATTATAATATATGTCTTTCTATTGTCCTTTGTTGTATAGAAGATGAGCACAACATTAATTATCTTTTAATTTGACCAAGTGAAATATAAGTAAGACATCATTGCTATTTCATTGGACTGTTTAAAACATTTGTGCTAATCTTCTTTTTATATGTAAACTTGATTAATAATTTTTAAGGCAGACCGGCAGGTAAAACAAATAGTGATTAATTAACTTTTTATATTTCATAATAGTTTCATTATTTTAATATTTATAATCATAAATATAGTATTTAGTATATATAAAATTTATTACATATATAGGTATACATATATATTATACAACATTATTTATTATTACATATACTCTATATATTTATTTTTATTTTTGCTATTATTAATAATAATAGATTAAATGTCATCGGATGAAGACTCATTTTATTCTGCATGTTCTTCTTTTAACGTTACCTCACCCGCAGACGATTCTTTTATCGATAACGTGGGTAATTATTTGCACACGAAATTTGCCTCTACAAATTGTTTAAATGTATGCCATATAAATGCGCAAAGCATCCCTGCCCATTACTCAGATCTACTTGACATATTTTCTTCACCATACATCCATGCTCTACTTATCTCAGAGTCCTGGCTAAAACCCTCCCTATCCTCCACGTTGTACAGTCTTCCTGGATTTGTACTTATACGTTCTGATCGCACTGGCAAAGGTGGAGGTGGCGTAGCCATTTACTTGCGATCGGAATATGCATATGATGTCATTGCAATATCACCATCAGAATATAGAGGATCTGCTGAGTACCTATTTCTAGAAGTAAAAATTAAGGGTTTGAGGGTCGTGCTCGGAGTTGTTTACTGCCCTCCTTCAACTGATTATTTTTCCCATATTGAATCGGTAATCGACTCCATCAGCACTGATAACAAACATATTATAATAATGGGTGATTTCAATACCAACTTGCTAAAGGATTCTCCTCAGAGTCGCAAACTTAAAGCCATCATGGACTCGGCAGATCTCTATATTCTACCATCTAGTCCAACTCACCACAACGTGGACACCGAAGATTCATGGTTAGACATCATTTGCACTAGTTCAGCGGATCATGTTTTATATCATGATCAACTGGCTGTTCCCGCGTTTTCTCGACACGATCTTTTGGTCATGTCGTATAAATTAAAGCCTCCCAAGCCAAAGCCAGTGATTGTGTATTTACGCAATTTCAATAAAATTGACACCATTCGACTACACCGCGATGCTAAGAATATAGAATGGGGCCCATTGCTGGATGCAAATAATATGGAAGACAAAATTGCTCATTTGAACACCCAAATTCTCAACCTGTTCGATAGGCACGCACCAGTTCGAGCAGTCAGGTTACGCCGACCTCCTGCACCGTGGATAACTGACGAAGTGCGTAGAGCAATGAGAAGAAGAGATCGAGCTTTTCACATTTTTAAAAAGAATCGGAACAGTACCACATTTCAACAATATAAGCGAGCACGAAACCGTTGTAATCAGGTGGTAAGAACAGCCAAACGCCGCTACTTCCACAATAGTATTTCAAACTCCTCTTCTGCAGATATATGGAAGTTCCTTAAATCCCTGGGATTTGGAAAATCACATTCCAATTCTCTAATCCCAAATATTTCACTCAATGACTTGAATATACACTTCTCTTCTGCATCACGTCTGCATTTGACCACCAAAGCTAAGACTCTCCAGGAACTTAATTCCATGCCCTTGTTATCATGTAATTCTTTCGACTTCAGTTCAGTGACTGACGATGATACTAGAAAAGCCATACTTTCAATAAAATCTTCCGCAACCGGATATGATGAGGTGAGTAGACCTATGATACTTCTCATACTCGATATTGTTACTCCAGTTCTCACTCACATCATCAATTTCTCCCTCTCTACTGGTATTTTCCCTAAGTTATGGCTAAAAGCTTTTATCTTGCCTCTTGCGAAGGTACCCAATCCATCCCTACCCTCCCATTTTAGACCTATATCTATACTGCCGTTTCTTTCCAAAGCCCTTGAATCATTGGTACACAAACAAGTCACCTCTTTCATTTCGAAATGCAACTACCTTAGTACATATCAATCTGGCTTCCGCCCGGGACATAGTACCACCACAGCTTTACTTCAAGTTACAGAAGATTTTAGAGAGGGCATGGAGAGGTCATGTTTGACTGTTCTGGTCCTTATTGACTTTTCAAACGCATTTAATTGTGTCGATCACGACTTACTCCTTGGATTACTTTCACGCCTAAACTTCTCCCCGTCAGTACTGAACTGGTTTTCCTCTTATCTTCGCGGTCGCCAGCAGGCTGTTCGGGCTGGTCAGGATTTTTCCGACTGGTGCGATCTATATCTAGGTGTACCGCAAGGCGGCATTCTCTCTCCTCTCTTGTTTTCGTTGTTTATCAATCTTCTAACTACCCACCTTCAATGTTCTTACCACCTATACGCTGACGATCTTCAGTTATACTCACAAGCGTCCTCGGTTGAAATTGCTACCGCTATTGCAGCTATTAATCAGGACTTACAACGCATTTCAGACTGGTCACAGCGATTTGGTATAACGGTAAATCCCAGTAAATGCCAGGCTATTATCATTGGTAGTCGTCGATTGGTGTCACAACTTAACATACCTGATCTACCATCCATTTGCTATGAAAATTGTGTAATTCCTTTCCGCGCTAGTGTCAAGGATCTGGGTTTAATTATTGACCCGACCCTTAGTTGGAGGTTACAGGTGTCCGAGATTTGTCGTAAAGTCACAGGCATACTTCGTTCCATCTATCGTCTTAAGTTCTTTCTGCCTCCTTCAAGTAAGATTCTACTCATCCAATCTCTAATTCTTCCATTATTTGACTATGCCGATGTTTGTCTTTCTAATATCTCTCAGGAGCTGCTAAGCAGGTTGGACAGGTTACTTAACAACTGCATACGATTCATCTTTGGTCTGCGCAAATACGATCACGTATCAGAATTTCGCTCCCAATTAAAGTGGTTGACTATACGCCAGCGCAGAGATTTTCGAATGCTGTCCTCTCTGTTTTCAGTTCTTAATGATTCTTCCTCACCCCTTTACCTAAAAGAAAGATTCCAATTCCGTAGTGACACTCATTCTCTCAATCTCCGGTCTTCACACAATTTATTACTGTCTACTCCTCTCCACCATTCTGGGTTTATGTCAAATTCTTTCACATTAACTTCCATCTCCCTCTGGAACAAATTGCCTGTTGACCTGCGCATAATACCTGCTAAAAACGTGTTCAAAAGAAAACTATACGAATATATCCGTAACCAACAAATTTGAGTCCACTTACTTTATGTTTATAGTTATTTGTATATAAATTTATGGAGATATATATTTATATATGTATATGTGTATGTATATATGTTATATATATATATATGTATATATATATGTATATATATATGTATATACATATGTATGTGTGTGTAATTGTATATAATATATATGTGTATATATATATATTATATGTATGTGTAGCATGTACATTTTGAATTGAATGAGATCATCACATCTTTACTGCCCATAACTCACTCTCTGTTCTACCCAAGGTTAGCTGGTAGAGAATGCCATATAGCATTAAGCTCGCCTTTTGTACAAAATCTTTGGTGCAATAAAGAATAAAATAAATAAATAAAGGCCCTTCATGGTGGTCCGCAACTGATGATGAGTTTTTGTTAGAGTTTGAGATCAAAATTTTGGATATTGAGAGCACGTAATATGGTTAATAAGTACCACAGAAGTTGTGTTGTATGTTTAAGATACTCTAAAGCGGCAGCCACACAATTAATGGGTCAGTTGCCGGAAGTTAGATTAAAACCGAGCAGACCTTTCAAAAGTTCAGGAGTGGATTATGCGGGTCCAATTAATATCCGGTTCTCTCTAGGCCGTGGATCAAAATCCTACAAGGGATACATTTGTTTGTTCGTTTGTATGGTGACTCGCGCGATCCATTTAGAAGCGGTATCTGATTTAACGGCCAAAGTCTTTATCGCTGCATTTAGAAGATTTGTTGCACGTAGAAGTCATTGCCAAGATCTCTTCAGCGATAACGACACGAACTTTGTGGGAGCAGATAAAATGTTGTGTAAAATGTTTAATAACGCTACATAATGAAATAGCCGAATTATTAACCTTAGAGTCAACAAAGTGGCATTTTATACCATCAAACGCACCTAACTTTGGAGGAATATGGGAGGCGGGTGTACGATGTGCAAAAGCTCATTTGAAACGAGTTGTAGGTGACACTACCTTAACATTTGAAGAGATCTCTACTATGCTGACGAAAATCGAGGCCTGTTTAAATTCGCGACCTTTGAGTATTCTTAGCGACAAACCAAATGACCCTCTCCCATTGACACCTGGTCATTTTTTAATAGGTGAACCTTTGTTAAATATTAGTGATATAGATTACTGTGATCAAAATGTAAGCGGCATAGATAGGTGGAAAAATATTCAAAAAATGGTAAATTCGTTTTGGAAACTGTGGTATAAAGAATTTTTAAGTAACTTAAATCAAAGAAACGAGTGGTGTACGAAAAAAACCTGAAATTAATATTGGTGATGTAGTGGTGTTAAGGGATGATAATATACCACCCGCCAAATGGATTTTAGGGAAAGTAACAAATAAGCATGCCGGACCTGATGATGTACTAGAGTCGTTACTATTAAGTGTAAGGGAGGATATTTAAAACGCCGTGTTAGTAAGCTTCGTGTGTCGGTTAAGTCATGAAGATTCAAATAACATTGTCACGGTGGGTGACATTCTTCTTTGAGTTGTAATGTAATTGTTAGGAGTATGTGGATTTTTTTTGAAGGACAAGTCCTTGGTGGGCAGAATGAGTAAAAAGGTTCATGTATATAGTTGTATTCTATTGATCGACAGATGGCGCTATTTGATTTATGTACGCGCTGTTGAATGTATCACGCCGTAGTGCTTAGTTATTCGCTAATGTATGTCAAATTGAGTTTTACATCGAGAATATAAACGAGTTGTGTTAACGCGAGTGTGTATCATTTCTTAACAATGACGATGATGACGACGATGATGAGGGTGACGGTGACTATGACGATAACGATGACGATGATAATGACAATAGTGTTAATGACGATGGTGACGATGACGAAGTGTTAATGATGATTATGACAATGATGATGACAATTACGATGATGATGACGATGATGATGATGATGACGATGATTACGATGACGATGACTATGACAATGACGGTGACGATGATGATGACGATGATGATGACAATTACGAAGATGATCACGATGATGATGTTGATGACTATGATGATGATGATGACGATGACAATGACTATGACGACGATGACGATGACTATGGCGTTGACGGTGAC